CTACACTAATAAAAGGGGGAAATGCAAATTGACTGTCCCTCTGCTACGCCCACCAGCCAATCAGGGTGAGTATGCAAATTAACCCAACAAAGATGGCGGTTAATTTGCATACGTAGGCGCGGAGTGAAGACTGAAGACTGAAGAGACTTGGCTTCTCCGCTGCAGCCAAACCAAAGGCCTGGGTCCCGGGTGCCGGAGGAAAACCGGTGCCAGCAGCCAGGGGAAGGAAGGCCTATTGCGTGAATCTTCGTGCAATGGGCCTTTAGTATATAATAAACCCTTAAACCATTCATCTTCGAACAAGGTCTATCACATGTATGTGTTCTATTCTGCTTTTCTCTTAGTTCAGCAACACCTGTGCATTTCTGCATTTTCATGTCTTACGCATCAAATACCTCAGTGTAACGTGAGTCAGAGTTTACATGGTGACCGAAAGAGAAATAATTCATCAAACTGCGTCAAGCATGACAGGCTCAGTGTTGGCTGGGCTACTATGAGGGGCTTCACAAGAATATTCAAGTTCAGTACCAGAGCAACTAAGAATGAAATCTGAACACTGAATTCTGAGGAAACTTCAGTGATGTTGACCTTCCCGAGACTTGAAAGAGGGTTAATTCTATGTTCTTAGTGCCCAGGGTATTTTTAACTGAGGTGATGCATTATTTATTCCCCAGGCAATTAAATGTAAATTACTCAGAACCCCCTAAGAATAATAGATGTCCAGTGCTGGATGGTGCCTTTTGGAAGATCATCTGAGAGACTGACAAAGGCAAAGCAAAGTCCAATGAGATGGGAGAAAATCTAAGACATTCATTTCTTAAATGTTACTTTATTGTACTTCTTACTCTGCTTATTGATAAACATAAAATTAATTCATTGTTGGAATGATCTTGTTGCTAATAGATTGTGTTCTAAAAAAATGCTATTTAATTCTTATATAATCATATAGCCTTATTTGGTATAGTGATGAAAAATCTGGCAGAACTGTTTTTGTGTAACTGTGTTTTGAAGGATGTGGGTGCTGTGTTTTCTCAAGGGCATTAAAATCTAAGTGATTTTCTTGTATTATTAATGGATGCCACTATATTATTAATAATAGCCATAAGAACTAAAATGTGAATTATTCAAAAATATTTAAATCTATGCCTATAGCCCTGGCTGGTTTGGCTCACTGGATAGAGCATGGCCTATGGACTGAAGGGTCTTGTGTTCGGTTCCCATCAAGGGCACATGCAGGAGGCAAACAATCAATGTGTTTCTCTTACATAGATATTTCTCTTTGTTTTTCCCTCTCTCTTCCACTCTCTCTAAAAATCAATGGAAAAATATCCTTGGGTGAAGATTAAAAAATAAACACATAAATAAATAAATCTATGACTATAAAACTTACACAGCAGTTAAAATTATCTGATTTTTATATATTTTTCTAACTATATTATAGAAAAATTCTACAGGTACATAAACTACTCCAGGAAGATCGAGGATATTTCAGTTAATAAAAAGAACCTTTTTGTTTTATTTTTAGGAAATAGTAATAATTCATATTATGTGTATAAGTATTATTTTTGTTTCCATGGCTTATGAAATAAAATTTAAAATGTGTATATATTTCACATAAATAATATATGTACACACAAACATATACATACTCATACTACGTAAAGAAATTAGGGACACTTATAGACATAAAATAGCAAAAAGAAGACAGGCCTAAGGTATGAAGATGAGGTGAAGAGAATGGAGGGGTATAAGACATAATTTACTAAAATTAGGCAGGAATTTGGGCTTGAGCTGCCTATGGCCAAAGCAAAATTCTTTAATTTAACAATACTGGTAATGTGGAAAACAAAACCAGACTCACATACTAGTTTCTTGGACAAAACAAACAAAAAATGCCCAACACTGTGATTTAAAAGAAATGTCTTGACTGAGTCTTCATAGAAGGGACCTTAAACAATGTACGACAGAAACATGACCCACAATAAACGCACTCGCCATCTCCTTCTGACACCCTTGGAAGGCTCTGCAAACTGCTGGCATGATGCTCAGAGGGATGTGGAAACACCACTCTGAAGGAGACCAGAAATGGGGCCCAAACACGCAGCTCTCTGATGCTTGTGTTTAATCTCGGGATATACACTAGAACATGGAGAGGAATAAATGGACCGTGTGTCCACTTAACTAGCTCTAAGTCAGCGGTTCTCAACCTGTGGGTCGCGACCCCTTTGGGGGTCGAACGACCCTTTCACAGGGGTCGCCTAAGACCATCGGAAAACACATATATATTGTTTTTGTGATTAATCACTATGCTTTAATTATGTTCAATTTGTAACAATGAAAATACATCCTGCATATCAGATATTTACATGACGATTCATAACAGTAGCAAAATTACAGTTATGAAGTAGCAACAAAAATAATTTTATGGTTGGGGGTCACCACAACATGAGGAACTGTATTAAAGGGTCGCGGCATTAGGAAGGTTGAGAACCACTGCTCTAAGTGTTCTCTCTCTTTTTTTTTTTTTTTTTACTTAGTTTTAGGTAAGAGCCAATTGATGAACAGTTTGAAGGTATAATCCTTGGCCGGCCTTCCATGATGCTAAGGGCAAGTCTTTAAAAACTAAGGGTGGCATTGTAAAACTTTTGAGGTTCCATCTAACAATCCATAATATATTGTCTCTTCCTACTCAAATTTGGCATAAGCTACAACCTTACATTGTTAATAATCTTTCTATGTTTATGGGTTGACTCTTAAATAAGCAGGCCTATGTGGCTTATACACTCACAGCACAAATAATATTTGACATAATTCATAAGAGATAGTCAACAACTGTTTTTTTTTATAAATCTGGTGTTCCATAAAGTTATGTCTTATAAATTGTTCTGGGAAAAGAATTACACATTTTTGCTTAAACTTTGCTGGCTTCCCTTTGCTTATAGAATAATGGCCTAATTCCTTCATTTGAAATTCAAAGTACTATACTAGACTCCCATCCTCAACCTACATTCTAGCCAAGACGACACAGCACTTACCAAACTCACTGTATACTTTTGTGCCCTCAACATCTGCTGGTCTGGTTCTCTGTGCGACTCGAGATGCATGTGCCCATTCATTCTGCAAAGCCCACCACCCCAACAGCCCCTCGGTGAAGTGTTCCCCAAACTCACCACCTCGTCTATCACCACCACCCAACCCCCTGAGAACAAACCCTTCTCTTCACCTGGCAGTCCCTTTTAGCAAATCATTGTCACAAATACTATTGTTGGTCTGCCTTCTCCTTTGTGAATCTTCCTAAGATTCCCATATCCAGATTTCAGCAATCCATTTATTGTCCAACCCTGTCCCAGTATGTAATTTTACTCCAGCACATGACACAGCCCCCTGGCATTATTTATCTTTATAATTACATGAGATCCTGTGCTTCTTCAGGATATCATCTCATTCATCACTGTATCCCCAGGGCCTAGCTAGTACTTGATACACAGTAGGTGTTCAATAAATGTTATTAAATGAATAAACAAAAAAAATTGCTTTCTGTCAATCAGAAAAAAACTGGTACTAAGCATTCAGTTTAGACACCTGCTTCCTTAGCATTGAAGCAGGATCCTTACTCTCTGGTGATTAAACAATAGGAATCAAACGTGGATGTGCAGCAAACGAAGGTGACCTAGGAACTGAGGACACTGCTTGGGGAGGAGGCTGCCCTCGGGCAAAGGGAAGACTTGGGCCCTGTAAGCACCACGGATTCCTCGCCTGAACTCCCGGAGGCTTGTTCACACAGCAGTGACTGGTGCTGTAAGGAATGCTCTGCTAGCATTCAGTAAGATCAGTCCTAGGAAAAACGCTTCCTCACCTCCACTAGGTGACAGACAAATGACCATTTTCACTTAGACATTTCCTTAAAGAACAATAGACTGGGACTATAACAGCTACATTAATTCTTAATATCAACTATCTGCATGAAAAAAATCCAGTGTGCACACTTTTTAACAAAGAGAACATAAACTAGAATTAATGTGGCATGATGTTAAAAAATTACGGCATTCTATTATGCCTAATGTATATCACAAGAAAATATGCATCTGTACACATGTATAATACAACATAGTCTTTTCTTATGTGTCTTCATATTTTAACTTCTGGATGGTATAAATCAGAAAGAGACTAAAATATAAAACCTATTGTAAAAATGTAAAATACATGAGCATGCTTATAGAGTGCAGTAATTAATTCATCAAATGCTTGCCATAATACTCCGGAATACAGAAAACGTAAAGATGCATAGTGTAATGTCACTGCTCTCAGGAAACATATAGTCTAAAACAAAGCATTCCACCACAAGGTACTCATAGAACTGAGCAAAAACAACTAAAATCACTGAACTTGTCTTAAAAAGAAAAAAGTTATGTAACTATAACCAACTGGTTGCTCTTTTAAAAGGAAAATAAATATAATGTTACTACATTTTGAAATTTAAAAAATCTTCATTTCATAACAATTACATGCTATACACATAAAATTCTTATGGTTATAGTTACTACATTCAATGCTGTTTATAAAAGTTTTAACTGCTCTTAGCTTCTTTTCTTGCTTTCTCATAGCAAAACACATACAATATGTAGATGCTGGCCTTTACGTTAAAAATAAAATTTACCAACAAAAATGTGGCATAAAGGGTTCTATGGACTGCCAAGTATATTTTTCCTCTCATGTCAGAAGCTTCCTCACTCTCCTTTTTTTCATGTAAATGTTAATTTGAGTACCGATGTAAGAATACAGGCATATTCAATAGATGTTATCTTATTCATTTCTTAAGTTTTGAGAAAACTTTTTCATGTTGTGTTTTTATTATAGACCGCCTAAATTGTTTTAGAAAGCAAGCAGATATTAATTAATGATTGGATATCTAACTGAGCAAGACTACTAACCATGTTCAAGATTTCTTAACAATTATTTGGTACTGACGTTATTTTGCGTGCTATCGAAGGCTTCTTTACCTGCAGATGGCTGGGAAACACTCCTGAAGACCTTTCTTTTTAACTAGAGATCCTTCGAGGCAGTACATAATGATGTCCATCACCTTTATAGGAAGAATACAAATCTAAAATTAATTTCAAATTCTTAATTTTCCAAATTTAAATTATTAACTTAGTCCTCACTTGACCATGGAAATTCTAGGCAGTTTAATTTTAATATTTACTTAAAAACTAAAGTGTAGTTACTTTATACTGCGAAAAACATTTATAAGACAATGCAATAAAATAAAGAAACCACTTATTTCCTTTAAAGGCTGTTCATATTTATATGCAGTGTAGTGACTTTTATTCAAGCATACTGTATGTGTTTTGTTTTATTTATAATGGAAGATGTCAAAGAGAACATGACCTTTACAAATTACTCTAATGTAGATCAATTAATTCCAGGTGAATGATACATGGACACAGCAATCGCTTTGATTTTTGAGGAAATTTAAATAAGGTCTCTTTTAGAGATGTATATTACTCCACTGGAATATTTCATTCAGGCTGTTGATGTGTCATTTAAAACAAGGTACTCTTACCTCCACAAGAAGATCCACAACATCTGTGGGCATCTTTTCAATGAGAATTTCAATGACTCTCAGAATTTCCCCTTTAGCTTGTGCGAGAGCGGTCGTGTGTATATTCTGCTGCGACTGGGTGTTCGCGGCCAGAGCAGTGTGTCTGTGGACCTGTGGAGACATTCCGTGCTATATAGATGTGGTGGACCCTTGATAGAGTTTCACACTTCTAGCCACTGGAAATTATTATTACAGTAGATGCGTAAAAAATCAACAAGAACAAACCTCCTGGGGTGAGTCAGGAAATACTTCTTATCGCAAAAGACGGTATTTAGTAGAATAAAAACCCAGTTAAGTCTTCTCTAATTAAATCTCTAAGTTCCTGGATACATAAGACTTTAATACAATATTACCATGACTTTTCTCAAGGAAAGACAGACTGAAGGTTTGTGAGGTTGGAATATATGGCACTGAGGTGGAGAGCAGTTAAGGGCTTCAGCAAATGTAAGACATGATACTTGCTCTCAAGTAATCACAGTAAGTGATGTTTATATGGCACTTACTAGGTCTCAGGCACCATGCTGGGTGCTTTACAATCAAGTTGGTAAATTAAAATAAGCATGCCTTAAAAAAATAAAGAGCACTGTAAGTAATGTAAGTTTAGTGTGATTTTCCCCATACAAATTGTAAGTCTTACATGGTTCAGAGGAGAGAGAGCATCGCTGGGCCCTGGACTGGCCAGCGGAGAGTGGGTATGGGGATGGCGTAGGGGACTCAATCACAGAGAGAAATGCTTCAGTATTTTACTCAAAAACTCGAAGTGAAGTGGAAAACTTGTTTTTAAAAGGTAATCAATGTGGACTATTACATTAAAATATTTAAAAATTACCTTCTAACTAAGTGCTAGAATAGAATAAATTCAAAGCATGGTTCTTCTAACAATTCATTTAAAAATACTCATATATGTATACAGTGCAAATTAAGTAAAAAACACAATTAATATAAATGCTTTTTTACTTCCTTTAAAGAGACCGTTTAATGCCTGGTGTTTATAGCACCTGTACATGTGGTCAGACTGAGGTAAGGCTTATGCAGCATATTCAATATTACTATCTGTGCATATCCCACTGATGAGAAAAACTCGTAAAAAAATTCCCTAAGTCTACTCATTTATACATACATACACTTTGTACAAATATATCACATCTATAAAAGATATAAACGCATACATACATATATGTATATTTTAAAGACATCTGTCACTTTAACACTGTGCACTATTAGAAAAGCACACACCTTTAAGTCTTCAAATTTATTTTAGCTATGAATTCAAAGTCCCACTGCTTCTTATAAACCCATACAGCCTGCTGTTAGGACCTCCCTTCCTCCCTTCTAGCTGCCTTCATGTCACAATTATTTGCTGCGTGCCTATTCTGGATGGCCCTGGGGCAGACACAGGCCCAATAGGTTCCAGGTTATCAGAGCAGACTCAGAAGTGTTTACTTAGTATTTTAAAAACTCATCACAGCTACAGGAAAAACAACTCAGACAGGCCCATACCCCACAAACACGGAGTCTGCACGTTCCTCAGGCTGAAACGGAATAGACCTTTAAGACACTTAGGAGCCATCATCCTTTCCTGTCCTCCCACTACTGAGGCCTATGGGAAGATCCTATAATTGGTCCATTGTTTCTCACTAGTTCCTCAGTTAGATGTGGGCAATTAGTTGGAACACTAAGAATGTGGGAATCAATTGGTATTCAAGTCTTTATTTGTGACATGTAATAGGAAAAACAATTAGCAAGTTTATGGCTTACATTTTTGTTTACAGTTGGAGAGCCAATGTGAAATAAGAAGTCTGGTTTTGATTACAGGTAGATACACTTGAAAAATGTAAAGACCTTTAATATACAGGGTGGGCAAAAGTAAGTTTACAGTTGTTCATATGGAAAATAATGCAATCATTAATAAATAATAATTTAAGAATAAACGATGTGTTCCATGTACTCCCAACTGTAACACTTTTGTCCCGCCCTGTATTTTATTTTGAATAAGCCTGCTCTATCAGATTGAAGAATTATTGTTAACTATTTCCAAGTGAATGAACTTCTAGAACAGAAATGAATAGAAAAGCAGAGAGTAATGACTGGGCCACTGTGAAATTTGGTGTGGCCACAGGTACAGATGCATTCATTGCAGGACAAAATTATTAACTTGCAGTGTTCTAGAACAAACTGGCAGGATGATTTGTGGATACGGACCCTCAGCTCACAATGCCCAATAATCCCTCTAAATGCGAGGACAGAGCCCTGAAGTTCCACTCACCTCTTTGGCTATGGTGGTGAGGAAGGCGGGTGGTCTGGCAGTGGCAATAAGGGAGAGGGCATGCCTGGCCAAGCGGGTGGAGTCAGCTGCTGGGCTCAGAGGCAGCCCCATTGTGATGCTAAACAGGGAGCAGAAAAAAAGGAAAAAAGAAAAGAAGCATTAGAAATATAGACTGAAAAGATTAGACACAGCTTATAATGTCAGTTCAAGGTCAATGGGAGCACTCAGACAGTTAGAACATAATGGACTTGCAACAATGAGCAGTGATTAGGAGTCAGGGTGTTCTGGCATCAAATACAAAATCGAATAATTAACCGTGAAGATTGAAAACAGTATGTGCATCTGTCCAAAGTGTTACAAACCCCTTGTTAACAAATTATCAAGAACTAGTTCTGAATACATATCACAAAGCTCAGAATAAGGCAAGAACAAACATTTTGCGGAAATTTTCCATTTCTTTCCTTAAAAAAGTTAAAGGCAATTTTGTTTATGAGGCCACATTAAAAGGCTATATTTAAGGTCACAGATCTGAAAGGTAGTAAAATTCACTCCTGTCCATGAAATTGAACTGAGAATGACAAGATTACTTTTAGCTTGTATATTATTTGTAGTTTAAAATATCCTTAGTACTGCTGGTTTAATCTCACACTTAATACCTTTAGAACCAATCTACCACTAATCAGCATGCTTTGCCAATAGTTAATTCATATTAAAAATATTATAGTAACTGATACTTAGTCTGGCATTGCCCAGGCTATACACAAGAATATGCACATGATAAAATAAACCTTTCGGAACTGTGAGAATGTCCTGATAGAAGAGTGATGTTATTTCTATTCTTTTGCCATCCCTAAAACACACAAATGATATCACTGTTTCAAAGCTTCTTTTATACAGAGTACTATGGAAAGTATAGACTTTTAATTAAAATGTAGCATGTGATCCACACATTAACTGTATACAAGTTGTATTTTGTTATTCAATAAGAGACCCAATAATAGTTTGTCTCTCTGATTAAATACTTTTTATATTAAACTAGAGGCCTGGTGCACGAAACTCATACGCAGGGCAGAAGGGCAGGGGGTGGTAACCTCAGCCTGGCCTGCAACCTCTCGCAATCCGGGACCCCTCAGGAAATGTCCAACTGCTAGTTTAGGCCCGATCCCGAATTCGCCTGCCTGCCTGATCACCCCTAACCACTCGCCTGCCTGCCTGATAGCCCCTAAACACTCGCTTGCCTGCCTGATCACCCCTAACCACTCTGCCTGCCTGCATAATAGTCCCTAACCACCTCTGCCTCGGCCCCCGCTATGGGGACTTCGTCAAGAAGTACATCTGGAAGGACATCCGGAAGGTCTTTGGCTGTCTGGTCTAATTAGCATATTACGCCTTTATTATTATAGATATCCACATGAAATTATAAGAAGATCTGACCTGCTCTAATTAAAGAAGTCTGTGTGCTGCATGTGTAAACAGGATACGTTGACTAAAAATTCTCAAAAAGTCTATCAGTATTTCTGTAATTGCTCTGAGAATCATTTTGAGTTTTAGTTGAAAATAAAGATGCATTATGTAGGCATTCCCGTCTTTGTTAAAAGAAAGTAAATTGATTATAGAAAATTCTGCTTATAATTTCTTTGTGACTGTTATGCTGCTTAAATCTTTGAGAGTATAACTGTCAAAGCAGGAACTCACAGGAGAGAGGATGGAGAACCTTCCTTTGATGTTTACCACTAAAAAGAAAGATGTGAGCTGAAAGGAAAACACACATATTGAACAATCAACAGAAGGAATGCATTGGGGGGCACGTCCCCCCATGGAAAATCTTGATGCCAGCAGTCTCTGTAGGGGCTGGAAAGATGCTCAGCAGGAGAGCAAGGCGGGGTAGCTTAGCGAGTTTCTTCTCTGAATTAAACTTTAATATTGAGAATTCAGCAAAAGAAATGTTTCCTTTATGAGTAGTGCTGGGACTAGATTGTTTAATAATTATAAAGTTTAGGTCATATTTTAAGTCATGTTTTAAGACATTCAAATGCTCATTAAACTGTTCAAATTCTCTATGTTTCCTTTTTTCATCAATGCGAATGAATAGGTGTTGATAATATTGACAGGCTGAGACAAACAAAAATGGTATGTTAATTGAATAATCTGAACAAACCTAAATCACGTTTCATAAGATCAATAAAAATCATAGAATATTGGAGTTGGAAACGATCCCTTAGCAGCATCCCTGCTGAGCAGTGAGCCACGGAAAAGGAGAGTCTGTCTCCCAGGCAGCCCATCCCACATCTGGAAGATGGATACAGAGGAAAGAATCTGGGCCCGGAACCCAAGGTCTAGGTTTGAAGTCAGGCTTCTGATGCTATTATTACACGTCGTCTAGTATCTGCCCCCAAACAGCCCTACAAAGTGAGGGATGTCAGTATGTCATGGAGAAATCAGGTCCAGAGAAGTTCTGTGAAGAGCCAAGTTGGTAGTGAATGTCTTTCAGGAGAGCTGACCTTTGGAGAAATAAAGGGGGGAGGGGCTTATTATATTAGAGTTCACTGAATTGATGATTGGTAACATGACTCACTCAGTGGCTTTGGGTGACTGGCAACTGCACCCCTGAGAGAGGTTTCTGGTGGTGTGCGGCAACACTTGCACTGCAGCTGTTTATTCAGTATCAACAGTGGTTTGAATAAAGATACGGGGTGCAAGGTTATCAACTGGTGTGCATATAAAGTTGTCAGCGAGAGTGAGTGTATTAAATACCAGGATTGGGATTCAAAACGTCCTCAGGAAGATCAAGTTCAACTACATGAAGTCCTAAATGTGGGTGCACATGACTGGCTTTACAGGTCGGGGAGAGGTGCCCCTGCTCCACCGAGCTTAGGTAACAGACCTCGGGCTGAATTTGAACCTGGGTATCTATGTTAGTGAGGGGGCTGCCTACAGAACCAGGTTGTATCAAGGAAAATACAGTGATAGAGAAGGTGGTACTCCTGCTGAACTTCATGGCTCTGGGTGCCTATCTGCCCTCCTCATGGCTGTACTGCTCCCTTAGGTGCTAAGAGATGGGGTTTGGTTCTGCAGGACAAGCATCATAGCAGGTGACCTCTCGGAGGTGGAAGCCAGAATTCTAGTCACATAAACAGGATCCCAGCAAACTCACCACCCACATCTAAGTCCTCTCTTCCACACCTTCTCCTCCTTGTATGGAGAAGGAACATTCAGTGGAAGCACAGAAGGGTCTGGGGTGGAGGGGAGAGAAAAAGAATGAGAATGAATGAATATGCATATGTGTGTGTACACCTAAGGGTGGGGGTGATCAGCTGATAGACTTTCAAGGCTCATGATACAGTGACAAGTGGATTTTTCCCCTGCCTTAGTGCTGTGCCCTGTGACCACCTTAGTCTGAATAAGCACAGTGTCTGTAAAATGGGGATACAAGGTTGATGAAAAGATTTAATGAACCCCAAGATGCAAAAACACCGAGCCCTCGTCTGACCTATATTACACATACAGCAGATGTTTCTTCTGACCAAGGTGCCTCCACAACCAGAAACAAAGCAAAAAGAAAATGAGATCAATGAACAGCAGGCCATGGGCTTCAAGTTAAAGGCCTAGTCACACAACAAAACTTCCTCCATCTCAGCAAATGATCTCCCGAATTTGGAGATCTAGGAGGAGAAGTGGTCAAGTTTGGTGATGAGTGGTGGGGTCCAGAAGAGAAGCTATACAAAAATGGGGGACCTAGCCAGTTTGGCTATGTGGATAGAGTGTCAGCCTGCGGACTGAAGGGTCCTGTAGAGTGTCAGCCTGTGGACTGAAGGGTCCTGGGTTTGATTCCAGTCAAGGGTACATGCCCGGGTTGTGGGCTCGATCCCCAGTAAAAGGGTGCAGGAAGCAGCCGATCAATGATTCTCATTATTAATGTTTCTCTCTCTCTCTCTCTCTCTCCTCTCCCTTCCTTTCTGAAATCAATAAAAATCCTAGATAATAAAAGGCTAATATGCAAATCGACTGAACAGCAGATGACCTGTTGCTATGATGCGCACTGACCACCAGGGGGCAGACGCTCAATGCAGGAGCTGCCCCCTGGTGGTCAGTGCACTCCCGCAGTGGGAGCGCTGCTCAGCCAGAAGCCGAGCTCACAGCTGGCGAAGGCAGTCGCGGTGGTGGGAGCCTCTCCCACCTCCGCAGCAGTGCTAAGGATGTCTGACTTAAGCCCGAGGAGCAGGCCTAAGAGGGCAGTCAGACATCCCCTGAGGGCTCCTGGACTGCGAGAGGGTACAGGCCAGGTTGAGGGACCACCCTACCCCAAGGCCCCCCCAACCCCCCGTGCATGAATCTCATGCAACAGGCCTCTAGTACATTTTTTTTAAAAAAAGAAAAAAAAATGGGAAGGAGGCCAACTAGAGATCTAAAATTATAAGCATTGCCCACTGAGTTCAGTGGAAGCTGGAACAGTTGAATGTAGAGGCATCAATGTGTGCACCTGAGCGATTCCCACCATCAGCATCTGGCAGCTGGGGCACAGGCTTGCACAATGTGGACAAATCTGTGTTCTAAGTCAGAGCTCTGCAGTGACCTTTAGAGCATCCACAGTGTAAAAGCAGGAGGGTAGTGAGTGTGATAACAGAGAGGAGTTGCCCAGGCATCGGGGAAGAAGACAGCCCTCGTCTCTGTCCTCTGTGGTCCCCATCAATGTGCCACTACCAGGGCAACCTTCCAAAAGCACCAACTTTATTCCACAGTTAACCTGCTTAAAAGCTTCCAGTGGCTCCCACTGCCTCTAAGATAAATCTTAAACTCCTTGGCCTGAGACCCCAGGCCCTCCATAATCTAGTTTCACTAATTCATCACTCAGTCTTTTCAACACCAGTGCTCCTGAGGCAGGCTAATTTCAAGGTCGGTCCCTAAAATTCTGTTCCCGTTTCTATTGTAGTGTTTTGCCAGTGCTTTTCCCCTTCTCCCTTCCCTCCCCTTTGTTCAGTTCTCCTGGAGGCCCACATGGTATTCTGCAATTGCTACAGTACTCAATTACCTTCTGGTGAAATATAAACCACCACCAACAACACCTGTTTATTCTGGGCCCTGAGCCCTGACGCCCATCCTGCCAGGCATTATAAATCA